CAGCATTAGGAAGGTTGAGAACCACTGCTTTGGCGCTTCACAAAGGTGCCCCCGACAGCAACGTGAAAGGGAGTGGCAGACCAGGTGAAGGGAGTGGCAGGCCCACGGCAGTGTGGCTGGATGGGAAACCCACTGGAAAGATACATGTGGCAGAAATGAATGCACCTTCAATCCAAAATGGTAGAATGTAGAGCAAAAGGGAAAAGGAACATCATGCTGTAAACCAAGTATCTGAGTAGATATTTTCTCCAAAATCTTTTAGTTGGGGAAGATCTCATTTACCTAATCTTTAAGACAAACTACTAAGCCACATGTTAACTCTCCAATTTACATATTAGTCATGTAAAAAAAAAATTGTCTAAAAGAAGCAGCCATCACCAAGCAGGCCCTTTGTTTTGGTATTTGAAATCCTGTCTACCCATCTGTCACACTCACACTGGTGGCCCTGGTCAGAGGGAAGTCCAGACCCTGGGCAAGGCTGCTGGGGCGTTCCCTGCTTTTCCTTCCACGATCCTGAAAGCAGAGAGGAGGATGAAGCTGGGTTAAAAGGTCCCTGGGGGCAGTGAGACAGAGATATATGTTGATGGTTCAGGGCAGCCTGCCACAGCCAAGCCACAACGTTACATCGTGTGGGGAGTAGTCCTAAAAGCCAATGTTGCTGTCACAATTCCATCTTAATTTTTATCAGCTGGATATGGATGAGGCTTCATGGTCATATACTTAATGCTATTGCTCAGATCTTTGGCTAACTGATGTTTTTCCGTGACTTTTTGACAGTTATTTTTGTTCAATAATGAATAATAAAGTGAGATTTACCATCTGTGTATGACAGCATTTGTTTTATTTTGACATTTCTTTTCTGGACAGCAAAGGTTTTATAATTAGCTTTTCCCTCTGCCAAAAAGCATTCTGAAAAACCATTTCCCTGGAGGAAAAAAAAAAATGTTTCATAGTTTCCTTTTTACTAGTTGCAGTCATCATATTTGGATTTGGGAGTCTTTTAATAAGTCGGTCAGGAAATGACACAAGAAATTTTTCTTTTGAAAATTAATTCTTTACAAGGACAAAAATTAACTTTTGCCCAAAGAAAATTAGGAGAGAAAATGAAAAGAAATATGTTTGAGCCGGCACCGGTTTGGCTCAGTGGTAGAGCGTCGGTCTGCAGACTGAAAGGTCCCGGTTCGATTCCGGTCAAGGGCATGTACCTTGGTTGCGGGCACATCCCCAGTAGGGGGTGTGCAAGAGGCAGCTGGTCGATGATTCTCTCTCATCGACGTTTCTAGCTCTCTATCCCTCTCTCTTCCTCTCTGTGAAAAATCAATAAAAATATATTTTTTTTTAAAAAAGAAAAGAAATATCTTTGAGATGGTGGTAGTTCCATTATCTTTAAAAAAAATTATTGAGGTAAAATTGTTATATTTAATAATATATAAGTTGATATATATTATATAAAGTTGGTACATACCACTATATAAATTCCACTGTAATTCAGCATCTGTATGCTCTACAAAGCAATCATCCCAAAAAACTAGTTACTATTTTTCAGCAATACTATATATATATCCCCCTTTTTATTTTTGTCAGACTTAATTGAGCAGTATTTAAAAAACCCTATTTTACCTTGTTTCAAATGATTGGTATTTGAAATCATGTCTACTTGATTCTTGCTGTTACCCTGATCAGTCCAACTCGTTGAAATACTGGGGAGATTGTGCTAAGACTGATGGACAGCCCCCTATTTTCAAAGGCCTCATAAGAGGCAGCCATCAGCCTGGTGCTGCCTGTGGAGACACAAGCCTCCCCACCCCATCCTGCCTACAAAGCTGAAAGGCCCTCTTCACACAGCCACATCCACTGTTGGCTCGGTGACAGGGGAGCCGAGAAGAACAAGTTGCAGGTGTGTTAATGACTAGGGCTTTATCTCTGGAGTGCTCAAAAAAAAAAAAAAATGTGGAGGAAGCCACATTGATAACCGACGATAGAATGGCTTATCATTGCTAATGGCAAAAACATCACGCTGAGCTAATGGCCAAAACATCGCTGCGCTGGCACCCTTCCCTGACACGATGAGAAAACACCTTCCAGCTCCTACAGGAGCAGCGGGGCCAGATTCTCTTTCCAGCCTGGAGTGTTTTCCTTTCCAAGCTATTCCGAAGGGCCGCTCCTAGGATCCGATTCCAGGCGCGGCCACCCTTACCCCATCCTCTCCGCCCTATTCCCACCACCATCGTTATTCAACGTTTGTACTGAGCACTAACAGATATGTGCAACTGGAAGAGACATTTTAGAACCTCAAAAGTGCATCTATTTTAAAATGGAGAAAGACATCAGGCCAGTATCATTTATAACAAGCCAGACAATAGAGCGAGATAACAGTGCTGTCTCAGCTGTTCTTGTTCTCATGGGTAGAGTGTGAGCATTTCTATCCAGTATATTTCTGTATCATGAACCAGCACCTTCTTTTAAATTTTATAGGTTGGTTATGGGTCACATACTCTCGAAGTATAAGGAACATGGAGGAATCCCTTTGTCTAAAGATGGTGGTGCCCTTGTTTTGAATATACAGGTCAGCTCATGCAAAATAGAATGTGTATTTAATGCACTGGCTTGGTAGATTGATGGGCGTTTTTCAGAAGATATGTGAGGTTTGAGGAGAGTTTCTTGTGAGTCTGTGACAGCAGCTGGAATTGCTTGCCCCCCACCAAGGTGTTGAAGAATTGTTACCTTCATCTCATCTAGCCCAAGACTCTTCTCCCTGCCTTCAGAAAGCAGAGAGAAACAGAGGAGCAGGTGTGTTAAAGGCTAAATTAGAAGCCACCTTAGCAGTAGATCCTTGAATTTCTTACCCACCAACAATGATTCTCCTCCAAAGGGAACGATCGCCTTGAAAATGCTCTCCTTCTGTTCTATCGCAGGAAGCGTGCACACTTGGCTGAGGTTGACTGCTTATGGTTCCACAGGGAAGGGATGCTTTCTGTGGCCTAAGGTCTCCGTCAAGAACGTCAGGAGCGTGGCTCTTTGGGAGCATGGTACCTGGAGAGTCACACAGACATGTTTGAATCTTACATTCCCCAGCTATTGGTTTGGCCTTTTCACATCTCACTTGTTAAAGCAACAAAATGATTATAACACTAGACTATTTGGGTTGTTAACATACCCTGTTTCCCCGAAAATAAGACAGTGTCTTATATTAATTTTTTCTCCCAAAATTGCGCTAGGACTTATTTTCAGGGGATATCTTATCTTTCCTGCGCTAGGTCTTATTTTCAGAGGATGTCTTATTTTCGGGGAAACATGGTACTAGCTACCATTTACTTAGTGCTTACGTTGTGCCAGGTACCTAACCCAGCAATGATCATATAAGGTGCCATTTACATTTTAGTCATATAGAATGAGTCTCACCATAATACATGAGGTAGCAATTATTATCTGCACATGAAAGGTAAGAAAAAACAAAACAAACCTGAGACAGCCTATTGTCCCACCTCACACAGCTAGTGAGTGACTGATATCAGGCTTCCAATCTGTCAGATTCTGGATTTTGTGAGCGGTAATATGAAGTTAAAGTGGTGCCTAGTGCACAGTAGGTGCTTGCTTAACACATGTTAGTTCCCTTTCCTCCCATATGTATCCTGTGGCTTTGAAAGATCTTGATTTCTGTGTTATTTGTAAGGTTCTGTAGAGCAGGTCTGTATTACTGCCCCCATGTGGTTCATTTGGATAACTGGTTTTACAGTGTTTTGTTGTTGTTTTTAACAGTGTCTCGTGTTTTTTTTTTTTTTTTTTAATGTTTAATTAAAGTAGTATAATATACGTGCAAATAAGTGTTATTTAAACTAGGTCTCTAATGTCACCTAAGTGTGTGGATAGTTTTGAAGATGATTCTACAACCTCACTACACAAGAAATACCACTTTTTACTTTCTACAGTCCAACTTCATTTCTAATTGATCCCTAACTGGCGGGTAGGATACTTAACCTCGGTCACACTTGCAGCTTCTCTCCTGGCCTCACCAAGTCTTCCATTCCTCCAGCTGTCTTGGAAGAAAACCCTTCTCTTTCCTGGCACAGCGCCCCACGAGGCTTTCTGGTTTGCCATCATCCTGTCCAGAAGAGAAGAATTTTTCTTGCAATTATTTTTTTCCACCCGGCTGCTCTGTTTACGGAGACATTTAGCCCACTAGAGAAAGCCTCACCTTTCACACTGAAGAAGGAGTTCAGATCACCAGGGAGTAGAGTGTTGGTTCAGTTACCAGCTCAAATGTGAGAAAACGTTTCCAAGAGGGAAATAGAAAGGTCCGCTGTCCCCACCAATCGGGAGCTTTACTCGCTAAGTGAACCTCATTTGCAGGTTTCATTTCATGTGCCCGGAGGGCTCGGCTTCCCTGGATTCATCGTCTTGTGTTACACCAAGCTGCAAGCATACACTTAATACCCTGTGTCTCAACCTCAATTGAAAAATAACAAATATATTATTAAAACAACAGCAACCACCCAGTGCATTGATTAGTGCAGTCACCTCAGGGGACATCTTTGTTTTTCCATGGCCCTATCCTCAGAGGACTGATTGGTCTCCTGTCAGATCTGGTTATGTCTGTGTGATGGAGGGTAGTTTTCAGAGGGAAAAGGGTAGTTGATACAGGAGAGGGTAAGGAGGAATTATCTTTTTTCGTTCTTAAGCACCCTTTCTAACAACAAACACAGGAGTCTTCCGTTTTTATTTTTATTTTTTAAATACATTTTTATTGTTCATATTATTACAAATGTTACTCATTCTCCCCCCACCATTGCTCCCCTTCATCAGGTTCCCACCCCACCCTCTGTCCTTTCCCCACCCCCCATTGCCTTCATCCATTGGTACACAGTTTATGTACAGTCTCTTCCCACACCCCCCACTCCCTTTTTTCCCGAATCATCAGTTCACTCCCCTTCCATCCATTCCTCAAGTCTTCCATTTTTAAACATTGTCCTAACGCCAACATCTATCTAATTATATTGCAGATAACGGCGGGCAGACTTTGGCCGGGGGCAATAACTGGCCCCTTCGAGGAAGAAAGTGGAGCCTGTGGGAAGGAGGCGTGCGAGGGGTGGGCTTCGTGGCCAGCCCCTTGCTGAAACAGAAGGGCGTGAAGAGCCGGGAGCTCATCCACATTTCCGACTGGCTGCCCACTCTGGTGAAGCTGGCCGGGGGCAGCACAAACGGTACCAAACCTCTGGACGGCTTCGACGTGTGGAAAACCATCAGGTACCTGTGCCTCCTTTTCTTTTTCCTCTCAGGACAGACCTGTAAGATCAGCTCCACTCAACTGAGTGAGAATGAAAGCTTTCTGTGAAAATGATAGCTCAGCTTACAAATAAATGATTTTTTTTAAAGGCCTTTAGAAATATTGTAAATATTTTTTTTCGGGTTTTTGATTCATAGACCTCTTTGAAATTGAAAGATGTAAACTTACTGGAAAAAGGGAGCTACACATATGCACAAAAATTCGGATAGCATTTATTTTTATGACATTAGACATTGGTTACACTTTCTATGTTGAGTCAGCTTTGACTCCTTACAAGTCTATGACTGGGTGATGTTCACAGTGCTCTGTCCTCCACAGCATAAGGCTTCTTTTATTGAATCAGTCCATCTTATATTTACTCTCTTTTCCTGATGCCTTGTATTTTTGCCCAGTATTATTATCTTTTCCAAAGACCATTTCCTTCTTGTGATGTGCCCAAAGTAGAATAGCTTCAGTTTTGTCATTTTTGCCTCCACCGATGGTTCAGGTGTAATTTGCTCTAAGACCCACTAGTTTGTCTTCCTGGTGGTCCAGGGCATCTGTAGACCTCTCCTCCAGCATTAGATTTCAAGTGAATCAATTTTTCATATCAGCCTTCTTCACTGTCCAACTTTTGCATCCATAGTTGTATTTGGGAGCACAATGGTGTCAATGATCTTAGTCTTGGTCTCTCTCTAATCTTCTTCATTCTTTCATGGTTGTCCTTACAAGTCTCAGCCTTCTCTTAATTTCACAGAGAAAAATGTGAAAAACGTGTTTTTTTTTTTACAAATTTCTGCCTCTCTCACTTATCTTTAATGCAAAATTAATACCTGCTTTATGATTAAAAAAGAAATAAAAATTCCCAAGCAGAGCAAAACTTGAACTTCAGTTCATTTTATCACCAGCTTTCACCATGAAGGCTACTGAAGTTGGACTAAAAAAATAGGAGGAAGTTTTGAGTGGATTTAATATGACAACATATTGTCATGCTTGACATCCGGTCAGTTTTGATGTGTGTGTGTGTGTGTGTGTGTGTGTGTGTGTGTGTGTGTGTGTGAGATAAACAGGTTATAAAACCCAGCTTGCAAAAGCACACATAGCAAATGAAATCAGAGCTCTGAGACACACTTTGCCAAATGAGGGTAGGCTTGAGTTGAGAAGTAGTTGAACTCATGTTGAATAATTTTCTCTGCTCCCAATTCACTGAGTTTATTTTCTTTGACTAAGTCCAAATCATTGATGTTCATCCATATCACCAAACTGTGGATGGTAAGTTCACATGTCAGTCTTAAGATTCTCTTGGTCAGAAGTAACATTTGGCATTTGTTTGCTTCTGCCTGCAGAAAATTTGGGAACAGTTTAGTTCCTTAACTCCAGATTTGCAGAAAGTCTGTCTTCAGTGTTAGAACACTGACCAGTCTCTTATAAGCAGAGCTCTCCATTCCTGAGCATGCATTGTGTTTGTTGACTGCAGAGCTTTACCCAGAAGGTATGGTGAAAAACATTGTCCAAGCATGCTAAACCAAGAGGAAGTACAGGCTCCTTTTCTATTGTTTTAAAAAAGTAAAAATTGCTGCCCAATGTTTAATCAAGAATTTTAAGACTCTAGAAATCCAGCAAATTTCCCTTTAGTAGGTGAAGATCCGCTCTTATGCTCTCCTTTCTTGATAAAAAGATCCTGAAAAAGAGTGATGTAGCCCCCTAGCCTATGAAGTCGTTGCTTCGCACAGCATCGCAAGCCCTCCTTTAGTGTCAGTGGCAGATCACCGGGCACCCGTACCCGCCGACCCAGTAAGCCATTGGTCAGATGGACATCTGGAGCCTCTTTTCCGAAGTCCCAGAAAAACGTGGACAGCCAAATGCCAGAAACACATCATCTGTGCCCAGAGTTCTGCAAATTTTTTTCCAGTCACATATTTACTTGGAAATACCATTTCCAAGATGATGGTAGCTGTTGAAAATTTCAGTAAGTTCTGATGAAATAGGAATGCCAGTAATGGGTGAAAAATAGAGTTGGCTGTGCTGAGAGCAGCAGGGTTTCACTAGTTGCCTAGTTATCAATTCCTCTTAGACCCGCTTTAAAATATTAAAACGTTAGGAGAAATAGCAGTTCTGGATTGAGTGACATTATTTGCAATAGAAGCTCATTTTTTTTTCGGTTCCAAGCCACAGACCTTGTTTGTCATTTATAGGGACATGACTCCTCCAAGCTCTTTCCAATTCCAGTATTACCAACACCTTTTATTACATGCCTTTCCCATTCCTCAGTTTCTAATTTTAATTAATCTTTTGATAGGCTGGTTAATGTTTTCAAGTAATTATAGTAAAGGTACACAAATAATGAGTTATATTAGTCTTTGCATATGAAAAAATATCTATTACCTTCAAACATAAATAATAATTTAACAAACAATTCTTGTCAAATCTTTTCTTCTCAGCATTCTATAGACATTGTTTTAGTGTCTCTTTTTTAAAAATATTGTTTTATTGATTGCAAAAAGGAAGGGAGAGTGAGGGAGAGAGAGAAACATCAATGAGGAGAGAATTATTGATCTGCTGGCTCCTGCACAGGGGCATGTGTCCTGACCAGGAATTGAAAGGTAACCTCCTGGTTCATAGGTCCACACCCAACCCCTACACGGGAAGGGCACTTTATTGTCTTTTGATAAGTATTATTCTAGAAAAGTGTAACACTTTTACCTGCAAACAAATTTTTTTCTTTTATTCTTTTATCATTTTTCTTTTTATCATTTTCATTCATATGAGAACATGACTGTTAGCTGAACCTACTATGGTAATCATTTCACAATATATATAAATCAAATCAGCATGCTGCATGCCTTAAGCTTATATAGGGATTCATGTCAATTATTTCTCAGTAAAACAAACAAACAAATGTTTGCCCAGCCAGCATAGCTCAGTGGTTGAGCATTCCCGGTCAGGGCACATGCCTGGGTTGTGGGCTTGATCCCCAGTGAGGGACATGCAGAAGGCCCATGAAATGGTTCTTTCTTCTCTTTGATATTTCTCTCTCTCTCTCACTCTCTCTCTCTGAAATCAATAAAACTATATTTTTAAAAATTGTTTAATCTTTTTTAAAATTTTAAAAAAGTTCACCTTGCAATGTTGGTGGCTGACAATGTAGAAGTTATGTCAAAATTATTGGTAAATACAGTGATGGAAATGGTGAATATGGTGATTTCTTTTGACCCATGTATTTAGAAGTATGTTGTTAATTTCCAAATATTTCAGGTTTTCTCTAATGATATTGGTGATGTCTAGTTTAGTTTTGTTTTGGTCAGGAACATACTTATTATTTCAATTCGTTTAAATTTAACACTTGGGCCTATCTATGGTCTTTTTTGTGTCTGCCATGTGGACTGGAAAAGAATGTGTATTCTGTAATTTTTAGGGGCCGTATTAGGTTTCTCTTTATGATCCAGTCAGAAAATATTTTATTTTAATAGATGAGTTTATGTGCATTGCTATGACTGGCATTTTTATTCTTAGTTTTGTCATATTATTTTGCATTATATTTACTTTTATCTTTGATCTTTTGTTTGTTAGTTCTTTTAATATTTAGAATTATGTATATTTTATTTCATTGTTAGCATTATACTATTTTCTTTATATAATCCTCTCAGTCCCTTTTTTAGTTAGTCCTCACCCGAGGATATTTTTCCATTGATTTTTAGAGAGAGTGAAAAAGAAGGGGAGAGACATAGAGAGAGAAACATTGATGTGAGAGAGACACATCGACTGGTTGCCTCTTGCACACACCCCGACCAGGACTGGGGATCCTGCCTACAACTGAGGTACATGCCCTTGACCAGAATTGAGCCTGGGACCCTTTAGTCCTCAAGCTGTTGCCCTATCCACTGAGCAAAACCAGCCATGGCTCAGTCCCTTTTTTAAAACTTAGATTCTACTCTTTGGTTTATCAGCTTAAAATGGCATCTTTAACTCTATAAGGAACTCAACTAACTTATTCAACTTTACCCTTTCTCTCCCTCTTTCCTGCCAGATTTATTTTTAGTCGTATTAATTCTACTATGTCAGAGCATATAATATATATATATGATATTGTTTTTCTATCCTTACCCACAATTTCGTTTTAGCCTCGGTTCTACAATATATTAAATGCTAAGCACTCATCCATTTCTAAAGTTTTTCTCAATTATCTCTTAGTTGGAGGAATTCATTCTTTAGTAGATTTCTCAGGATTCTTAGAATTTTTGCATATCTATTAAAACATTTTCTACAAGCTTGAGAATTAATAAGTAGTTAAACTGATAGAAAATTCTTGTTTTATACTGTCTTTCCTTGACTTTCTTGAAAATGTCACCCTACTGTTTACTTGTTTTATATGTTGCTGTTGATATGTTTAATGTCAACCTGATTTTATTTTTTTGCAAGTGACCTGGTTCTTTTTCCTGAAGGCACAGAAGACTTTTATTACAACTACTATTATTATCTAAAGTCTAAGACTTTTACTTGCTATGCTTCAAAGGTAACCATGTTCCCAGTCAGTATTTCCAGATACACATTGTAGATTGAGGTCTTTCATTTCAGAGATTTTTAAATTATAGTTTTAAATTTTATATTTTATTGTTTGTGTTTCCTCTTCAGGGACTTCAATTATAGGTATTATTTAATCTTATTTATATGTTTTTTGTTTCTATCAATTTCCCTCTCCTTTTTACTTTTTAATTTTTTAATTTGAATTATCTTCTCTATTTTTATCTTTAGTATCTATCTGCTTTTATACACCTTCAGTTATACTAGTATATCATATCCCTTCATTTCTGATATTTTGTCTTTTCTGTTAGTTTCTTTCTTTAGTTCAGTGTCCAAGTTTTTAAAATTTTAATTCATGGTATTTTTTATATTGGCAGTTCTGATTTAATTATGTTTGATTCATGTTGAAATGTCATGTTACCATTTTCTTCTGCTTTTTTTCCTCCTGTAGTAGGGGAAT